GGAGGGGAGGGGAGGGGAGGAGGAGGAAAAGGGAGAGAAGAAGCAAGCAAGCAAATAAGCCACTATACTTAGCCAGACATAGTGACACAGGCCTACAACCCTACCACTCAGGAGGCTGAAACCTGAAGATCGAGTTAAGGCCAATCTGTCTCAAAAGTAAAAAAAATATTTAAAGAATCACTCCTGATAAATCAATCTTTTTTTTTTTTTTTTTTGGTCTTGTTGGTAACTCAGGGCCTGGGAGCTGCTCCTGAGCTTTTCTGCCCAAAGCTCTACAACTTTGACCCATAGCTCCACTTGTGGTTTCCTGGTGGTTAATTGCAGGTAAGTCTCACAGACTTTGTGGCCCGGGCTGGCTTTGAACGACAATCCTCAGAACTCAGCCTCCTGAGTAGCTACGATTACAGAGGTAGGCCATTAGAGGCCAGCTTTCAACCTTTTCTTTGACAGCTTGTAATGCCTAGACTCTAAGGTAAAAGATCTACTATAATAATATAAATAAGTCAGTATTTTTTTTGGGGGGGGGGAGCAGTCCTGGGGCTTGAACTCAGGGCCTGAGCACTGTCCCTGGGCTTCTCTTGTTCAAGGCTAGCATTCTACCACTTTAGCCACAGCACAACTTCCAGTTTTTTTGTTTATATGATACTGAGGAATTGACCCAGGGCTTCATGCATGCTAGGCAAGCACTCTACCACTAAACCACATTCCCAGCTCGTCAGTATTTTGAAAACATCAGTAGAAGTCAAAAACATAACACTATTCCAAGAAGCACATCTAAAATTACAAGATGTAAGAAACCAAAATTTAAGCCATAGCTTACAATGCTGCATAATATAAATGAGGTGGGAGAGTATGAGTGATTATTACCATGATGTGTAACTACTACAAATATCACTATAGTAAGAAAAGGAAATTAAGCAAAATAATGAAGGATAATCTTGTACAATTGCAAATATAAGGACAATTTTAAGTTAACTCTTCACTGACACATCAAATATATAAATTAGATGTATGCAGTGAGACAATGAGATATAAAAGTATTCTTCTATTTACACATCTAAGTATATTACTAAAGACAGGTAGGAACCAATCTCCATTAGAAAAACGAACACAAAGAAAAATAGTAACGTTAAAAAAGATGAGAAATTAAGGGAAAGAGGACACTGGATGAAAAGACTGCCCAAGTAAATACTACATTCTTACCATGATACTTTTTTCATATATAAGCTATACAATCTGTGTATTTTAGTTGTGTTGTTTCTGTGCTGGTAACAGAGCTAGAGCTAACACCTTATGCTTTCTTGCTCAGTGTTGGCATTCTACCGTTTGAACCACAACCCCAATCTGGCATTTTGCTGGTTAATGTGACAAAGTCTCACACTTTTCTGCCCAGACTGACTTCAAACAACAATCCTCCGGGACTCAGTCAACTACCTGACACTGAGCTAAGATTACAGTAATGAACCACCAGCACCCAGCCAGATGGGTCTTGTTGTTTTTGTGGTGGTACTAGGGTTTGAACTAAGTACTTGCCTGCTGTCCCTTAGCTTTTACCAGTCAAGGCACACTACCATGTAAGCCACAGCTCCACTTCTGGCGTACTGTTGATTAACAGAAGATAAAGAGCCTCTCAAATTTTCCTGCTCAGTTGACTTCACACAGCAATCCTCAGATTTCAGCTTCCTGAACAGCTAAGATTATAGGAATAAGCCACAGTTGCAGGCTAGATGTGTTTTAAGGAAAAACTGGGGCTGGGAAGGTGGCTCAGTGGTAGAGCGCTTGCCTTGCATACATGAGGCCCTGGGTTTGATTCCTCAGCACCACATAAGCAGAAAAAGCCAAAAGTGGTGCTTTGGCTCAAGTGGTAGGGCGCTAGCCTTGAGCTGAAGAGATGAGGGACAGTGCCCAGGCCCAGAATTCAGGCCCCACAACCTACCAAAAAAAAAGGGGGTCGGGGAACTATAGACGCAGAGGGGGAAATAATGTAAATTGAGAGGGGAAAGGTAGGGTTGGGAGGTATGGAGAATATGGAAAGAGATATTGATCAAGATATATTGTAGTTATAAGCTGATTTGTTGAATGGTAACTCCTTTATATAACTGTAATTTTTAGCCAGGCACTGGTGGCTCACACCTGTAATCCTAGCTACTCAGGAGGCTGAGATCTGAGGATCGCCATTCAAAGCCAGCCCGGGCCACAAAGTCCGTGAGACTCTTATCTCCAATAAACCAGTAGAAAAATGGAAGTGGTGCTGTGGCTCAAGTGGTAGAGCGCTCGCCTTGAGCTGAAGAGCTGAGGGACAGCACTCAGGCCCAGAATTCAAACCCCACGACTGACAAAAAAAAAAAAAAGTAAAAATGCAAATTGAGGTACTGAAAGAAATTAAATCAAGGAAAGAAGATGAAAAGGAGGAACAAAAAAAGTAGTAAAAAGAAGAGTTTGCACCAGTGGCTCACGCCTATAATCCTAGCTACTCAGGAGGTTGAGACCGGAGGATCACAGTTCAAAGCCAGCCCAGGAAGGGAAGTCTGAGACTCTTATCTCCAATTAACCACCAGAAAACTGGAAATAGTGCTGTTGCTCAAGTGGTTGAGTGCTGACCTTGAGCCTGAAAAGCTGAGGGACAGCGCCCAGCCCCAGAGTTCAAGCAGCAGAACAGAGGGGAGGGTAGGAGAGGGGAGGGGAGGGGAGGGAAGGGAAGGGAGAAAGAGGTAGGGGAGAGGGAGGAAAAGAGGGAGCGAAGGAAAAGAAAAAAATACTTGCATACATTTTAGAAATCATGTAATAAGGTAGTGATTACATTTGTCTTAACTTGTTACCCCTTCCTTCCCTCATTTTTCTCCTTCTTTTCCTCCCCCCAAGACTATTACCTTCTTGAAGACCAGGATGTATCACTTGCTTGTGTCTCAAGGACTTCAGATCTTCTATTAGTTCTTTTTCCAGGTGGGAAATTTTTGCTCTGCAGCCTATTCATAAAACAATAATAAAATCAAGTATTCTATACTACAAAAGAATATTGCATACTTCACTAATAGAGCCCCAAAGCACAAACATATTTCATTATATTATACCATTATATTTATACCATTTATACCTGGATCGTTTGTGGTTGATGCCTGAAGACTAGTAGGTTCTTCTGTTGCCCCATCAACTGCGTGAACATCTAAAGCTTCCTATAGATTAAAAATAGAAAATATAGTTTGCATCACTTCTACAAATTTAAAATGACAAAAAAAACAAAGAGGAAAATACTACCATGGTTATAGTAATAACTCCAAACTGCCAGAACATGAGCAATTTTTTTTTTTTGTTGGTCGTGGGGCTTGAACTCTGGGCCTAGGCGCGGTCCCTCAGCTCTTCAGCTCAAGGCCAGCGCTCTACCACTTGAGCTACAGCGCCACTTCCGGTTTTCTAGTGGTTTATTGGAGATAAGAGTCTCACGGTCTCTCCTGCCCGGGCTGGCTTT